ACAGTGATGCCGTTTTATATTATATTGTTTGTGTCCTACTTTTCAAAGTGTGTCCTAGCGTACCGAACAGTTTGCCATGTTGTGTTTCGGCACAGTGTGCAGAGTTGCATTTTCGTGCTACAATTTATTGAAAAATGTCAAAGACGCCATTTTGAATAAAATTAGAATGGCCGAATATCAGCAAAGACGTGAATGATTGCCCATAACAAACAATTATGCAAAGTTTCATGCAAATCGCTACATGGATCATATGCTACATGGACTCCATTTACGCGGTCCCTATTGAGCACGTTCTTCGGGGCATTGCTGTATAACAAAAACTTAGCATCTACGGTCACCAATGCACGCAAGAAAATCCACCTGCAGCTCCTGTGAGAACATATGGTAAGTTCCGTGAAAACGGTAATGCTCGCCATCGGAGCCGGTTTCGAAATCCGAATGCGGAGATCTTTAAACCCATAGTTCTCGATGCCGAAGTGGTTGTCAATCGGTGGTCTCAATTCAGAGGATATTGCTAACTCATAATCACCAGTTTGGTGACGCAGTGGTGATAGTAGATGACACAGTCAGGAACGAGCGGCTTAAGGGTTATCGAAGTGTATGCTGGAGCAGATGGGCAAGAGAGATGGACCAAGGTGCATACATCATCGTCCGACGGAATGGCCGATTGTTTCGGAGAATGTTCAAAATTGTGCGTAAGCAATACTATTTTCGACAATCTCTCCGAAGCGTGTGGAATATCGATAAATTTCGTGCTGTCGTTTGCTGTAATCAACACGTCATCCTCGCATCATCGAATCCCGACCCGTCTCCATCTTTTCACTGTGCAGCTCCGTCAAAGCAGAATGGACCAAAAACAATGCGGAGAATGTCAGCTCGTTATCAACGAGCTCGAGCCGCTGCGCTGGGGTTTTTGCGAAACATTCTACAACATCAGCCAGCAGTGTTGCGGTATTAATATCCGCAATCTGAAGGAACCATTATCAGCTGGAAAGATACTCTTCGTTTGCAATTCCTGTCGTGGGGTTCTACAGGGCCGCTCTATCCGCTGTTTCATCGACGATCAGCAGCAACAACAAATGCAACCCCCCTCGCTTGCTTCGTTGCCAGATCAGGTTCGGCAACTGCATGATGCCGTGGCTGAGCTAAGTAAAAAAGTCGACAATTTCTCTGCTAAGCCACAACGCAACCCGTCACTGAGTGCTACACCAGTTTGGCCCAAACCGGGTGCAAAACGCCGTCGTGAAGACCGGCCTGATATTGACGTGCCAACCGTAAATGGAACGAAAACAATTGACTTGAGTGGTCTTTCCGTTCCCTCTATTGCTCCTAGTACACCTCCGGAGAAATTCTGGCTATATCTTTCTCGCCTGAACCCGCTCATCACCGATAACGACGTGCAGAGTATTGTGTCACGCTGCTTGAGCTTAACTGAACCTGTCGATGTGGTGCGTTTGGTTCCCAGAGGAAAAGTCGTATCCAGTATGACATTTGTGTCATTCAAGATCGGTTTGGATCCTTGTTTGAAAGATGCTGCACTCGATCCGGATTCTTGGCCTGCCGGATTACAGTTTCGCGAGTTTATTGATTCGGCAAAAAACTAGCGTGCTACGTTTCTCCAGCTGTTGACACCATCGCCACAACTTCATCGGATCCGGGACACCCTAAAACAGGCACTAAGGAAGCTCCCGAGCCCCCCGACCTAGTCGCGCTTGCTGCTGACATCCGCCATCGTCATCGTCCCGGTCCTGTGGTCGATGGTGGTATCGGGGGCTTCCGGCCTGCAACTCCAGGCGAGTATAATTGCGATTTCGAACTTTCGGTACCTGATTTCCCTTCAACTTCCAGTTCGCGTAGTGGCATCTTGAGTGGTCTCCGGATTTACTACCAAAATGTGCGTGGGCTGCGGACTATCGACCCGTTTTTCCTGGCTGTCTTGGAGGCTGAGTACGATTTGATTGTTCTGACAGAAACGTGGCTGGATGACCGGATTTACTCACCGCAGCTATTTGGATCGCATTATTCCGTCTTCAGAACCGACCGCTCTCCCCTAAACAGTCAAAAATTGCGTGGTGGTGGGGTTCTGATCGCCGTCACAACGAAACTGACCAGCTATGTAAGTACCTCGCCCATTTCAAGTCTGCTAGAGCAAATCTGGATTGTTGTGGATCTGCCAAGAACCAAGCTCAGTGTAGGCGCAGTCTACCTACCCCCCGACCGAAAAAACGACTGCACGATCATCCATGAGCACGTTAATTCGTTGGGCTCGATTTCGTCTCAATTGTGCCCCAATTCTCCCGCTCTCCTATTTGGCGACTACAACCAAGCTGCTTTACAGTGGTGTTTCTCTGACAGTGGCACACCATTCATTGATCCTCTGCTATCGCATATGCCGGTTGCTTGTTGTGAACTTCTGGACGGATTTAACATTCATGGGTTCACTCAGGCGAACATTTTTCCCAACCGTAATGGACGTTTGTTAGATCTTGTTCTGGCAAATGACTCAGCATTACCAGACACTTCTGTTTCTCTACCGGTCGAGCCACTGATCGATCTAGATGCCGACCATCCCGCTCTCGTCGTGTCACTAAGTTTATCCACTCCAATTGAATATATACCGTTTTCCGAGTGCTGCTTTCTGGACTTTCGCCGGGCCGATTACACTGCATTGAACAATGCGCTTGCGGAAATAGATTGGCACTGTATCGAAACGGCCGCTAGTGTCAATGATGCTGTGGATTGTTTCAGCTCTGCGCTGGAAGAAGTTATTTTCCGCACTGTCCCAGCAAGACGTCCCCCGCAGAAGCCTCCATGGTCGAACCCACGCCTACGTAAACTAAAACGTCAGCGCTCCGCCGCACTCCGAAGGTACTGCAGCTCTCGCTTACCGTTCTACAAGCAACAGTTTAAATTCGCAAGTCGTCGCTATCGAAACTACAGCCACTTCCTCTATAATCGGCACGTGAGACGCACGGAAGCGAACCTTCGGTCGAACCCGAAAGGTTTTTGGTCGTTTGTAAATTCAAAACGGAAAGAATCCGGGCTGCCTTGTTCCATGTTCCTCGGAGATGATACGGCCTGCAGCGAAAGTGAAAAATGCAGCTTGTTTGCTCGTCAATTCAAACAAGTCTTCCACGATTTTTCCGCTTCACCGACACAGGTGTTGGTCGCAACCTCCGGGATGCCACGTGAGGTTTTTAGTTTTGACATACCTCACATCACTGAAGACATGGTGATAGCCGCAACACGCAAAATGAAGAACTCATTCGCCGCTGGTCCTGACGGAATTCCCTCGTCAGTTTTAAAACGATGTGCAGTCAACCTCTGCCTTCCACTTGCGCGACTTTTTAATTTCTCGGCACAGCAAAGTGAATTCCCCTCCCGCTGGAAGCTTTCCTATCTGTTTCCAATTCACAAAAAAGGAGACAAACGGAATGTCGCTAATTATCGTGGGATTTCCTCCATGTGCGCCTGCTCTAAACTTTTCGAGATTATTGTAAATGATGCTCTGTTTATGTGCTGTAAAAATTATATCGATACGGACCAACATGGTTTTTACCCCAAGCGATCGGTTTCCACGAACCTGGTGCAGTTTACCTCTGACTGTCTGCGAAGCTTGGATGCTGGATGGCAAGTTGATGCTGCATACATGGACTTAAAAGCCGCTTTTGACAGGGTGGATCATGAAATCCTGCTTGCTAAGTTGGAGATACTAGGTGTCTCGTGTACGGCTGTGAAATGGTTCAGATCGTACTTAGTGAATCGCTCTGTACGAGTCAAGATTGGCGCGACAGATTCAAATGTTTTCTCCAACAACTCGGGAGTCCCGCAAGGCAGCAACCTGGGACCTCTGCTGTTTTCGATCTTTTTAAACGACATCGCTCTGTTGTTACCATCTGGATGTCGTCTTTTCTACGCAGATGACGCCAAAATCTACAAAATTATCAAAAGCCTCTCGGACTGTTGGGATCTCCAGCATATGCTATGTATTTTCGCTGACTGGTGCACGAGAAATTTGATGGGCCTGAGCATCGAAAAATGCAACGTCATCTCCTATCACCGTAAAAACGAACCAATTATATTTGACTATGTGCTCTTTGGATGTTGCATTGCCCGTGTAGAACAAATAAAGGATCTCGGTGTTACTCTGGACTGCGGACTCACCTTCAAAATCCATTATAACGACATCATTTCCCGAGCCAATCGCCAACTGGGTTTTATTTTCAAAATTGCCGATGAGTTCCGGGACCCGTTATGCCTCAGATCACTTTACTGCTCACTTGTGCGGTCTATATTAGAATCAAGTGCAGTTGTATGGTGCCCTTTCCAAGCCACTTGGATCGTTAGAATCGAATCTGTTCAACGAAAGTTTGTGAGATATGCTCTTAGTTTCTTGAACTGGCGTGACTCATCGAACCTGCCACCGTACGAGGAGCGTTGCCGTCTTCTGGGCATCGAACCGCTAGTGGTGCGACGGACGGTCGCTCAAGCTATGTTTGCTGGAAAGCTTCTCATGGGTGACATCGACTGTCCAACGTTGCTGGCCCAGCTAAATATGTATGCTCCTGAGAGACCTCTTCGTCAACGCGAATTTCTGTTTTTGGAGCCACGAGGCAGAAATTATACGCAGAATGAGCCAATTCGTGCAATCAGCCGACAATTTAACTACTCTTATTGCGAATTTGACTTTAACGTATCAGCAAATGTGTTTCGTCACCGGTTACTTGACCGTTTTCGTTTCGTTGACCATAACTATTTAGATTAAGTTTTATTCATTAAGACATTAATTGTCAGTTGAATTATTAAATAAACAAATAAACAAATATCAATGATGATGATGATAAGATCTCACCTATCTAAATTATGTTTTCGAAAAAAGGCAAGGGTTTTTCATTGACATTTTTTATTTAATAAATCTTATGGAACTTTATCACAAATGCACCACCAAATCACTATCCTGGGAATTAATAATTAATAATTGATTAAATGTTCATTCACAGGTTTAAAAACCATCATCAACGCGCTGCTGCATTCCTTTAAACAACTAGCAGAGGTCATGACGCTGACGATATTCTGCTTGATGGTGTTTGCCCTGTTTGCCCTACAGGTAACGGAGATTCATAATTCTCATTTAAAAAAATGGAAACAAATTCCATCAACTCCAAAAAATGGTTGAACAAAACAAATTTCCTCTATTTCCATTTTTTTCCCCAGGTCTACATGGGCGAGCTACGTAACAAATGTGTCAAAAACCCCCCGGAAGGGTGGAATGTCACCCACGAGGAATGGCGAATGTACGTATATGACACGTGGTTTCGAGATCAATTTCGATACACCGCACCGTTCCAATATCGGACATTCTATAGATAAATTCAATTCAAATTGCAAACATTTTATTCCCGTTTTTTTCGATCTCTCTCTCTCTCTCTCTCTCTTTGGTGCTCCAGGTGGGTAAACGATACCGAAAACTGGTTCATCGACGACGAAGGAATGCCTTTGCTGTGCGGAAACCTGACCGGAGCGCGCCACTGTCCACCCGGTACGTAGGCATGTTCGTGAATTAAAATTTGAACGATCAGAAGAAAAAAAAATCATTGAAATTCAATTAAAAATCTCGATAAACATCGGACCGTGTTCGGAAAAAAAGGTGGGGGAAAACGGATGCGTAAATTGAAAAACAACGGAATTGATACTACAGGTGGAAGCTGAAGAGGGTGGCGACTCTGAAATTGAAAGCGACAACCATAAACAACTGTTTCAATTAACGAATCAATCGTTGATGGTGATGATGATGATGATTCTGTCGATGAACCTACTGGCGGTGTTTTCGAATTGCATGACCTGTGCACATTTAAATTGTCAATTTGCGTCACCCATCGGTCAATCAAATCATGAAGAGGTTATGTTGAGCAGTAACGGTGATTTGTGGTAAGGGCGAAACTCATTGATTACCCGTAACCCAAGCCACAGACAAACGGGAATGCAAACAAGAGCAATTTGAACGTAAACATTCACCCACAGACCGTACCGGTTGTTCGTCCTCGTCTATCTCTCAAACCATTGATGCAATAGTCAAACTCAGTAGGTAAATGTAAACTCACCCTCTCCATGCAGCCAGATGCAGCTGCACTGTCTACTAACAGAAACATCTCTTCTAACGACGATACGAGCTTCTGAAATTGTAAAGAGGAAGCTTTGAATGGAAACTCTCACATTTAGCTTCCAGGCCGATGCACATCTAAAGGGGCGGGGTAGGGGGTTGTGATACCGTCAGGCAGGTTAGAAAGGTGATGTTGCAATTTTACAGAATCCCACCCTCCTGCCCAAACAAGTGCTCGACTCTTTTGAAACTTCGAAGAACGGTGAACCTACATGTTTCCTATTTATTTGTCACTTTGCTCCCAACCAACAGCGAAGCAAATTCAAACAGAACGCTGTTTGTATCCGCTCTGCCCTCCAACAACGCAACAACAACAAAGTGGGAGATTGCATTCAGCGTTGGGTTAGATATGGTTAGGTACCGTTTTGGAACGTTGGAACTATCTGCTCTGGAATAATTCCTCATACTGAGAACCATGAGCCGAGAAGCTCTGCATCATGAACCGAATTCAAATGACTTTGAACCGTTGGCGAATTGCGGTATGTAGTATCTGATGTCGAGTTTTGTCATTTTTTGTTTGTTTTGAAAAATCATTGTTAAATTTTGATGAAACTGAGCAAATCCTGACCAAATATAAACTGAGCAAATCCTGACCAAATTGCAACGAATTTTAGACTCGACTTTCTTAGATTTCCATAGAACTTTGCATAACTAATCATTCTAATCATGTTTGCAAATGCTTGTTACTGACGGGCCAGAAGGCGGCACCGGTGGTGTAGTGGTAAGCGTGACTGCTTTCTCACCGCAATGGGTCTGGGTTCAATCCCAGCCGATGTCGGTGGGATTTTTCTGAGGCATAAAAATCTCTGGTCACGTCTTCCTTCGGAAGGGAAGTAAAGCCGTTGGTCCCGGCCCATGTGTGTTGAATGGGTGCGATATCCTACGCAGGTGTGACTGCCTTCCTGCACATTCGATTGCCGTCAATGGATGGCAATCGATGTCCGTCGGTGATTGGACCTAGATTGCGGAACAGAGACCGACGTTAAATAAAAAAAAGAAGAAGAAGAAGAAGAAGTAATTTCCATTTAATTCTGTATTCGCCAGATTAGTATGTGGGATGGCTTTCCTAAGAAACAATGAAAGGTGATGTGTTGCGTTGCCTCCTTATTTCAAGCTGACATCTACTAAATTGACCTGAAAACGAACTGGCACCACTGATAAGTTGAAAATGTGCCGACTTGCTTGACGGTTCAGTGACGCCACCATGACAAATGCGAGCACATTCCGAACTTAAAACCTTATTTGCGAAGAATCATCATTTTGTCGTAAGAGCTGCATTTTGTTTACTTTCTAATAATGCCGGTCAAAAATTTGAATCGCCAAAACCAAATTTGAGCTGGAATGATCTCATTGTAGAAACCCAGAGACTAGTTCGGTCCTGGGTTTGATTTAAATGCTGGTGAATAGTAAATAATTGTCCCGTACTTTCTCGTATGCCTTTTTTCTACATTACTTTTGGTATATTATTTCCGACCATGCGTCTCCATAAGATGCTGTAGATAGAACAATGGCGCAGTCCGAGCCATTACGCGCTTGTGCTTTGAATTCAATTCATGATACAATTGCTCAGAACAGAACATTAAATTATTTTCTAATGGATAAAATTGCCAAAGACTTCCGGTCAACAGATTCACTCAACGTAGCGACATTCAATCACAATTATCTTTAATCTATTCGTGTGCCGTATATCTAGCATCTATATGTATTCCGCTTCGTTCCCAAATTTGTAACCTCCAGCATATGACAGTACCGTTTATGCCGCATCTATCAGCTTCCGCAACGTTATTGTCGTTTGTATAATTCAGTGGACAAATTTCCCTCCCTTGATGCCTACGTCGTCTGCATAGTGAGATGGATGCTTCGCATATCGTTGTCGTCCCTGGCTAGGATCAATACTCGCTACTGTCACTTCTGGCAGCAATACATGTGTGGGGAGGGTACTTGTCGTGCAGGGTATGTTTTCCTTCGGGACAGTAAAACACACTTTATCCCGGACAATCGAAAGCTATGTAATATGCAAAATGACAGCGACCATAAAGCACGATTAGCCAGCATATTGGTTTTCGTCTCGCTCCCGTCGTTGCCGCAGAGCCGCATCATCGTTCCCCAGAGAGCGTGGATCCAATCCGGCCTTGAAGGTTTGATCTGCTTCCACTGTCGCCACCACTACGTCATGGCAATCAATGCTAATCATTATAATCCATCGGTGCCCACGTCAATTGCATTCCACTAAAGTTTGATGTGCATTTTCTATTTTCAGAGTACACGTGTCTTTGCGTCGGCGAGAACCCGAACCACGGTTACACCAATTTTGACAACTTCATGTGGTCAATGTTAACAACCTTCCAGCTAATTACGTTAGATTATTGGGAAAATGTATATAATATGGTGAGTATTTGTTTTTTTTTTCCCCAAGCAGTTGTATCATATGGTTCCAGGGAGCATTCACGATTGCAGTTTATGAATATTCATGAACCTAACCTGAGTAATAACCAAGTCATACAAACAGTTCATATTCACCTACCTAATCCAGTACATATTGTGCTTCTAGTTAGCACCCTCTGGCTATCCTTTTCAACACTTTGTTAAAACGTGCTCTTGGAATCCGATAAATCCAGAATTTCAAATCCTAGGACCATTCATGTTAGAGAAATTGGAAATTTTGCCACACGTTTCCCAACAACGCACAGTGGTGCCAGATGTATCAAAACACTCATTTTATTATTTTTTCTGAAATGGTTGGTTGATGTCTGGAGGATTATTTCTTGGTATGTAAAACTGCATCTTACGGTATAGGCAGTTTAGCGATTAATCTCCTTAAAAGTGCGATGGGAATTTTATTGTTTTGTGAAAGAAGAGCTAGAAGTTTGATGTGTTCAGCAAAGTGGTAGCAGGCATTACTATAAACCATATTGCTGAAGCTCATAACCAGAGTTGCGACCTATCACTATCACGATCATCAAATTGCTGATGGTAGTAACGCTTGGTACATTTCTATCAATGTGCTTGTCGAAGCACTCTCTATGAACATGCATCAAGTTGACGAAAGAAGTAAAAAGCAACTGGTGAATGTCATCTTCGGTGGTGATCCATCACCGATCTGGTCATTCACGACAATCACGACAATCATATGTGCTCGTTTTGAAGCAATAGCTGCTTTGCTTGCTGATGTGAGTTTGTTGGTGAGTGAGCCCAACAGCTTACGTGAATTTGCTGCTGCTTTATTTTCCGAGATGTTTATTGAAAATTTAGTGCAATAAGTCCTTTAGCTGGAGCATTTTGGACACTTGAAAACGTTTGCAATAATTTTGCGTGTGTTTGGTTATTTAAAAAATAGAATCGAAAGAGTTTTTAAGATTACCGCGAGTGAACAAACCGGGTTTTTTCGGCAAACATACTTTTGAACATAAAAAGCAATAAATAATCCATAAAATATTGGAAAACGTTCCATAAAAAACATCCAAATGATCCATAAAACTTCGGAGAAAATCCTTAAAAAAGTGTGAATGAACCATAAAAAATATCAATATGATCCATATTTAATGTAAAATTTAGCAACACAATTGTAAAAATGTACCGCTAAATTTCTAAGCAATGAGCTTTGAAATTGTACGAATTACCCATAAACATATTGCAATTGATCCATAATACATTCAGCAGTGAACCTTAAACTAAAGTGATCCATAGAAAATCATGTTTGCGCACTTAAAAATATAGCCATGTTCGGATTAATGAAAGCAACTTCCTCAGAGCAGTCTCGTTTTGGACAGCTTGAAGCTGAAATAGGTTTTATTAAACCAATTTAAAATCTAAACCAATCTTAATGCTTATAATAAAACCTATTTCAGCTTCAAGCTGTCCAAAACGAGACTGCTCTGAGGAAGTTGCTTTCATTAATCCGAACATTCTTGAAGAACAACATCGGATATAACCTCAAAATGTCAGAGGGATCAACACCACCGTTGAGTGAAGAACAGAACAGCGATAAAAGTAGATGATATGGTCCAGTGTGATGTCTGCGATTTCTGGACCCATTATAGTTGTGCTGGTAAGACAACAGCTGTAAAGGAGGTTCCGTAGACGTGCTCTAAGTGCACAAATATGCTGAAGTTGGCAAAAGGAACCAAGAAGTCAGTCCCAAAGAAACCACCTAGCAGAAATAATAGAGCGAGGAGTGATGCCACAACCGAATCTGGAAAAGGAAGTACCAATGAGGTCAGCCTGGAAAAATCCCTAGAGCAGTTGCTGCAGGAGAAAAGCGCAAATAAGAAAGCGCTGGAGAAAGAGAAGATCCTCCATGAAAAGCGATAGGAGGCTGAGCGGGAGATTTTCAAACCGAGAGTTATCTTCCGTCACTCTTTCAACAAAGATTTGGCTAGATTTAGCATTTAGGGATTCAATTATTATTTTAGTTAAGCACGCAAACGATGTAGAATGAGCTACTTACTAGTTACTTGGGGTAAATCATGTATATAGCGTTTAGGAACAAATTGTAGGTTACCAGATTTTAGGATCAAATTGTAGTATCTAGATTAAGCAAATAAAGGGTTATTAAATTCAATATTTGCACGAATTCCACCTCCAACTAACCTACTTCAGTAGCTACATAGAGGTAACTTTAAGACCAGAAGGTCCCGAAGAAATGTGCTCAACTTTTTGGCTAAGCTCTGGTACTATCTTCGGTCCCAAGCTAATCGATGCACCCCTATAAAACACGAACCCCTCATTTTACCTGTCAAACTTTCATAGCGAATCAAAACAAACATTGTGTAGTACTAGAATTTTGACTAGCATGGGGTACGTTAATCGATTTGCTTGGGACCAATAGGCAAGTCAAGTAGTGAGCCAATTTAAATCGTTAGTTTCGTATTGATTGTTGGTAGCTAGTTCACTACAAATAACTATAATTTAATTAAACGATAGGTATATTAACAAATTTAGGCAATTAAAATAATTTAGCTGTTAAACGTTTTTTAGATGGTTTGGAATTGTATCTTCTTTTGCTCTTTTTTTCTCGTTCATATTTACTCCGACCTATCTAAGGTTTGGTTCAACGGAACTGTGAGTTCACAGTTCCGTTGAACCAAACCTGACGTCTGTCATTTCTGACAGCGACCGTTACCGTAGCTCTCTGAATCTCCCACAGGGTTGTCACTGGGTTTGGCGGTACAGGGTTATCCCAATATTCCGAACAGCGATGATCCATAAATTAGACGTATATTATTCACGTTTTGGACACTGTATTATTAATTTTGGTCCATAAACCATGAAAAATTGCTCCATTAATGCATTTCTCGTATCTACTTGCATCGCGCCTCATCTTTTTACAGGAAATCTTCAGAATCGTCATCAATCTTCTTTTTATCTACTCAGCGTGCGCGCAGCTAGCCGAAACAAAACACAATTTTTCCTGCATCGTAGCTAGAGTCGCTCCCCTCGGTCTATAAACATATGTTTTTTAATTTGATCAAAACTTGGAAAATTGCTACATTACTGCGTAGCTACTCAGGTTTACTATTCTGCCCGTGTTTTTTTTTTGTCAGAAGAGCAGAACGACGGGCGAGCGTCTAGAATAAGCTTCTTAGTTTCTAAATGAAGCTTCCATAGGAAGCTTCTTAAGAATATTATTGTAGAATCTTCTTTTGGAAGCTAATTCTAGACGCTTGCCCGTCGCTTCGCACATCTACCTTAAATACACGGGCAGGACAGTAAATATAAGTAGATAAGCAGTGGAGCAATTTTTCAAGGATCAAAATTTAAAAAAATAGTGTCCTAAACATGAATAATATACGTCTAATTTATGGATCATGCCTATATTTTTAAGTGTGCAAACTTGATTTTTTATAGATCACTTTCTTTAGTTTAAGGTTCATTGCTGAATGTTTTATGGATCAATTTCAATATGTTCATGGGTAATTCGTACAATTCCAATGCTCATTATTTAGAAATTTAGTGGTACATTTTTACAATTGTGTTGCAAAATTTCACATAAAATATTGATAATATTGATATTTTTTATGGATCATCCTCACTTTTTTAGGGATTTTCTCCGATGTTTTATGGATCATTTAGATGTTTTTAATGAAACGGTTTTCAATATTTTATGGATCGTTTTATCAATTCTAAAGGTGCAAACTTAGGGCTGCCGGTTTTTTCTTCCTTCGCCGCCGCCGTGAAACGTTGCGAAAAAGCAGATCTCCGCTGAATTTTCTAATGTACGCTGCTGAATCGTATCTATCGGAACCACTGACAACGAAGGATTCGAGCGAGGAGACAATTCGACAGTGAGCATGCATAATGGCGTAAACGCGATGATCGATTCTCTCCGTCGATTTTCTCTTTTGTTAATAACTCGCTAGATTTAACGTTTCTCGGTGCATTTGCTGTTGCTTTTGATAGTCAATACAACCTGTTACAACTCTACATTGAACAAATGCTAGAACATTGTTTCGCTTAGCTGTAGCAATGCAAAGAGAAAATCGATGAAGAGAATCGATCATCGCATATACGCCCTTATGCATGCTCACCGTCGAATTGATTTGCTTGCTTGCGGTTCCAGCTCGATGCAAGGCTGGCGGATCAGCCAGGAGTAGTAGTTTCTAGTGAAAGAAATGATCTCCATCACATCACTAAACACAACCACGAGCAATGACGAGGAACTGCATCCTAAACCCCATGATAAACAAGGAGCGGATGCATCCAATGAAACTTTTAAGCGCAAAAGAATCATTACGAACATATGAAAAATTCAGTAAGATCCTTCCATTGCATTATTTTATGATTCTTCAATATTGTACAAATATTTACACATTACACACAAAACCACATAGTAACTCGGAGCGTTTGGTACGGTATGTCCACGCATCCTTCCACCCCTGTAGATTCAAGAAATGTTCCCATTCATTTCCAAGAATCATCTTTGCGGCAAATATAGCGTAATAGGCCTGGCCGTATTGATGTTTATATCATATCTCAGATATGCTGTAAACATCAATTAGATAAGAAAAATGATTAGACCTCATCTAACCTAATCATTTTCCAGGATGCTTTCTCGTACTGGCTGCGTTTGTATTTGATTAGATTAGATTAGATTAGAGTGAGCCCAACAGCTTCCGTTCTGAGAAGAATTTCAAAAGAGCTCATAGAGCTCTAAAAATTTCGAAAAGAACCTCAAGGAATTCTGAGGATGGACTTTTTCGCAACTGTACAAAGTTTAAAGACCGCTTTTGGATTCCCTAATTGAAAAATGGCTATTAGTTTGCCATTGAACCTTGGTATATTGTTGCCTTACTAAAAATTCGCCTAAAGGTACGTTTAGACTATCTGATTTGTTGGTCTGATTCGAGCGGACTGCTCGATAATTTTGTCGGATGCAATGTTCGGATGCG